GGCTGGCAAGGTAGCCAGGTGTCCATGCACTAGCTGGAATGTGGGAAGTCTCCGATTCAGTCTCCAGCACTGTACACGCACGCGCACACATGACACACGCAGAATGATCACTATCTTCACAGCAATGCCTGAAGCAGGTCTTGTTATCTCTAATTAGAGATGAAGGAATGGGGCCCCAGTGGAGGCCAATACCTTCTCCCTGGCATTGCTGGAGCCGAGGAGAAATCTCATCCGTTCAACTAGATCTAACTCTACCCCTCGACCCTCACCATCTGCCGAGCATCTCCACAGGTAGAAAGCCACACCCTGGCACACCTGCCCACCCCTGACCACCTTCACTGCCAGCGTCCATCCCCCAAGGCTCTGCACAGGTGACGAGCACCGACCAGCATGGCCCAAATCAGAGCTGCGCTGGCAGAGTGCCCCTGCAGGGCAGCCACGTCCCAGAGCTCGGCGGGGGGCTGGCTCCCTGAAGAGGCACAGAGTTGAAAAGTCCCCTTTTGGGGAGGAAGGACCCCCATGGCAAAGCAGTTCTCAAGGCTGTTGGTGCCGCGCACCTTTCCTGGCACTGCGGACACCTGCAGGAAGGTCTTCTGCCCGGCACTCCTTCCTCACCCATAAGAAAACGCCCTGCTTGTCTCGCTCCTTGTCAGCACCCTGACCTGCTGGCCCATCAGAACCAAAGTCCACGGCCGTCCCAACTGCAGGGTGCCGCAGCGGTGTAGTACCCTCCGCTGCCCACAGACTGCTGAGGTCCCAGGTGCTGTTCTCGGGGCCACAGACAGAGCAGGAGAAATAGGCAAGCCGCTCCCAGCTCCCAGCTCGTTAGCCCTGCCTGCCACCCCCTTCACCCACGTGGCCCAAACCCACGGGTGCCCTTCCAGCCATCCCTGGCCTGGGCTTCACCTCCCGGCCATTTCGCACACACACACGTGCACATGCACATGCACACGCGTACACGAAGCTCGCCCCCCTCCCAGACCTCATGCAAGTACAGGTGATGGTGACCACTGTGACAGCTCACCTCTGCTGTCAGTGCTTCTAGCCAGTCCTGCCAGCCCTGCCACTCAGGGCCTGCGTCCCCCACGAGGGCTGCACCCCTGCAGAGTCCATGTCAGACACCCAAACTGTGGCTTCGAGGAGGTGCTGCTCTGCACGGCCTCCTCAGCATGTGCTACACACACACACACACACACACACACACACACACACACACACACACGCATTCACACAGTCCGGGGAGCGTGACCCTCACCCTGCCTCTCAGCACTCGGAGCCCGGGCCTTCCATCTCCCGCCCTTCTGCGCCTTCTGAGCGCTCTCCCTCCACGCCTTCCCCTGTCCTAGGCTGTGTCTCCACGGAGCCTCCCTTGCATGACCACGCCTCACCCTCCTGTGCTGTGCACCACCTGGGCTGCCACCTTGTGTGTCCTGGGCCCTGGCGTGTGGACTGTGGGCAGGAATATAAACAGGCCAGACGTGCCTCCTCGGAGTGAGTTGCACAGACAGTAAACTGAATCGAACAATAGGGAGAAGGCAGAAAGAGATGCCAGGAAGCTTTTATCTGAGACAGCGTTTTGCAGCCTCCTCTACAACTGTCAGTGTCTCCCTGGCTGATTGAGACAGCAATTGCTGCTTCCTACCTCTCCTAAGAACAACGGCAGTGGCAGCACCGCTGTGAAAGGAGAGGCCCACGCCGGAACTTGCCACAGTTCAGCTGAGCGCCCCAGCGAAGGCTGAGGCACTGCTGACATTCTAACACGGAGGTGTGCAGCCGTGGCTGCTCTCAGCTTATCATTCTCATTATTACTGCTCTTCTTAGGACCAAAAGTGGCATTCCAAATGTGACACTCGTGTTCGTTACAGGATGAAATCACTGGTCCATTTAATAAACACTCACTGTAAATGTCCAATGATTCCCAAATGCCGGGGGTGGCTGCAGGGGGAAGCCAGGCTCAGGGCTGGACAGAGCTCAGGCTTCTTTGGGCTGAAGGCCAGGACGCCCCGGCTGCAGAGCTGCTGCAATCTGGGGTCGTCCCAGCCCGGGACTGGAGCATCTACAGGCAGCGACGAACCAGTGCTGCCCACCGTGCTGAGGAACTGCCTCGGGCTGCGGGCTGTGCCTCACTCAGGTGCAGGACCAGCAGATCCAGAGGCCAAGGCGGGGGAATGAGTTTGGGCTGATGGCTCTGGGGCACAGGGCCTGTGGCCCACGCCGGGCACTCCAGTCGGCCAGGAGCCAGAGGCAGTGTGGCAGGAGCCACTTTGTGGGGCTCTGGGGGCCGGGCCAGTCTGAAATGTCCGTGGCCCTGTCCGGCAGTGATCTCAGCGTGGGCAGGGGGGAGAGGGGCGTGGGACAGCCCCCTCCCCTCCGGGGCTTGCATAGCCCCCGGTTCATGGGACCTGCGTGCAAGGGCCGCGGCCTAGGAGGGCCACAGCGCTGCCTGGAGCCGGAGGGGCCCAGCCGGGCTGCACAGAGCTCGGAAAGCGGCGTTTCAGAAGCACGAAGGACCAAAGGACCGGCTCCACTTCTGCCCAGAAAGGAGGCGCCTCAGCTCTCCTCAGGCCTGCGCCCCAGGGGCCCGCCCGCTGCCGCTGTCTCCTGAGACAGGCTAGCAGGAGACCGCCTTCCGGCTTCTGTCAAACCAGGAAGCGCCTCTGCCCCGCAGCTGCCCGTTACCCCTCTGCCTTCCCCCTCTTCGTGGCCAGAGCAGGCCGCTGGGAGGAAGTGAGTGGCGATGTGGAAGACGCTGACCTGGCCAGCTGGGTTCTTAGTATGTTTCCTTCCTCTGTGGCCTTGCTTGACCTTTTCACTGTCCAGTAGGAATTCTGAGCAAGGAAAACTGGAGAGGAGAACAGCTGAAAGTTGCAGTTTTCACTCAGCACATTCGCTGTGTAGACGTCTGGGCCAGGCACTGTCTTGGGACTCAGATACAAAAATGAGCGAGGCGTGGCCGCAGCCGCCGGACGGCACCCTGGCCGTTGTCAGAGAGGAGTGGGGGCCTGTCTGGGAGTGAGCAGGAGGCAGCAGTGGCCTCCGAGTCCCGTGGGGTGGGGAGGAGCACCGGCCGAACAGAGACACAGAAACATTCGTCTGTGTGTGAGTCTGCACATTGCACGTGATTTCTCAGAAGTCACTAACTTCCAGGTGTGGCCCTGATATCCCGCACGCCCGCCCGGGACCCGGGACCCGGACCCGGGACCTCAGCTCTCATAGCTTTCCACTTGACACGGAAAGCAGCTGAACAAGAGCTGCCACCTGCCTTTTCTCTCAGTGCCAGATAATCACAGTGGCCTCTGAGCTTGGCTCTGCCTTTGGGACTGAACCATAACTGGGGTCTAAACCTATAGGGTCTGAAATAGCTTCACTTTCAAAGAAGTGATGCCATGTGAGTTTGTATGGGTGGTCTCCTCCCTTCCCCTCTCCTATGTTCTCCTTCTTCTCTTCCTTCCTTCTATGTATTTTGCTACCCTGACTGCCCCTTGCCAAATGCCCTTGGTAAAGGATTTAGGTTTAAAAATTAAATCAGATTTAACGTATCTGGCTTTGAGGTGTAAAGTGTGCTACTGTATTTAGTTCTCCATTATTTGAGAGCTGAATGGACGCTGCTGTATGGAGACCCCATGATCTAAACACTTGTCCAAAACAGAAGGTAGGTGCTTTGGGGACAGAAAGGGACAAGTGGCTGAAATCAACCAGCCCAGGCGGCGCATTCCAGGGTGTGAGAGAGAACCACTTTGCAACTCTTCAAAAACTTGTAGGCTCTGACATGATGGCCTTTGTACCACTCCTGTCTGTAATATCTGAGGCCACACCTGGCTCCCCACACATTTTTAAATGAGTCTGTATTATAACCATCTCTGGGCCTCTGCTCACGTTGAGCAGGGACAGAAGACTTCACTGAGTCTGTAGACGAAAGCCGTGCTGGACTTGGCCTAGCCGGCAGATTTTTCTTTTGCCCTCTAACTGTTGTCTTGTTTTGCTGCTGCTGCTCCAATTATTGTCGTTTTAATTTGAATGAATATCCCATGTTTGAAAACTGGGAGACTTTTAGGTGGAAAATCACTGGCCTGCCATCTTCTGCAGCCCGTGAGGTTGTGCGACTTGCCCTCAGGCACACAGAGCCGGGGCTGGGTCCCTGGACTTGGGTTCCCTCACAGGACTCCGGTCATGACATCGCAACAAAGACTTAGCACCTCTTCATCTTGCTTCACTGTCCTTACCCTCTGCCCCTTGGCCCACCCAGGCTCTAGGAGCCCAGGAGCCAGTGTCCCCTTGTCTTGTCTGTGCTGTCCTGTCCACTGGGAGCCCACCTCCTTCCAGGTGCGCATTTCCGTCATTTCCCTATCCCAGCGCTGCATCACCCTAGCAGGCTAATCCTTAGGCAGTTCAAGCACATTACCTGATTAAAGAATTTAGTAAACTCCAAAGTGAATGTGCAAAGGCACATTCAATGTGAACTTGAATAATGTCAGCATGTTTCATCTTGAGAAAAATCCATACGCTTCATCTGGGTAGGGATTCACTTCTTACTTGGCTTAATATGCATTAATAGCAGTGTTCAGAGGCCTGGTCACAGCTCTGTGTATACAAATGGAGTCACACGTCACCATGTGGTAGCCATTTCTGAGAGAAATGTGGGTTCCTCCCCCGTTCAATTAAATGGAAGAAATCATCCTCTAAAAATTCTGCCTAACAATGATTTAGGACAAAAAAGTCACGCAGTGAAAGCAAGCTTATAAAAAGGTGGTGGACAGGTAAGGAAGAAGTGGCTGCGGGGCTTCAAATCTGCCCCACTGAGGCTGCAGCCTGTCCTTGGCTGTGGCCCTCAGGCATGAGCCTGACCCGCTGAGTGTACGTGAACAGTACTGACGCCCCCAGAAGAAACCGGATAAACTCCCGCACCTCTTTCTTTCCCTCACAGAGCATTGGGAATTCAGTCCTCATCTCCACGCGATTTCTGCTCCCTTGCTGGCTCACCTGCGCCTCTTCCCTTTCAGGTTCTACATCGAAAGCATTTCCTACCTGAAGGACAACGCCACCATCGAGCTGTTCTTCCTCAACGCCAAGTCCTGCATCTACAAGGTAGGCTCGCCCTCTCCCTGCTCTGTCCCTGCCCGGAGCTGGGGGCTGGAAATGCCAGGCTGTCCCCTGGTTGAGTGTGGACTGGGAGAAGCTGTGTGTGAATCCAGTCCTATGGGTAAAGGAGCACTTCGGGAGTGAAAGTCATCAGCCACTTGTGGCGGCTCCTCTGCTATTGCTGACCCTGGCTCTGTGGAGGTGTCCCTCACCCGAGGCTGCCCTGAGTGAGGGCAACAGGTACCCTCACCAGCTTAGGTCTCAGGAGCACCGATGGGCCTAGGCCGAGTACGCATGCCCCTGACTGTTTCGACGTGGTCCACGGTGTCTCTCAAAGGGTTGCCGTCGGAACTTCAGGGAGACAGTTCTGCTCCCTCTCTTTTTAATGTAGTAAAATGCACATACATCTGTCCCCATGGCTTTTCTTTCTTTTTTGAGGTGCTGGGGCTTGAACCCTGAGCCTCACACATGCTAGACAAGTGTTCCACTACACCCCCCAGCCCACCGTAACCATCTTTAAGCGTACAGTCCAGGGGCATGAAGTACATTCACACTGTTGTGCAGCCATGGTCTCCAGATCCCTTTCATCTTGCAGAGCTGAAACTCTGCACCCATTAAACGACGACTCCCTTCCCTCCTCTCACTGGTGGCCCCCACTCTTCTTTCTGTTCCTGTGAATTTGACTACCCTTAGAGAGTTCATATAAGTGGAACCATCCAGTATTTGTCCTTTTGCATCCGGCTTATTTTGCTTTGCATAGTGTCTTTAAGGTTTATCTATATTGGTAGCATATGGCAGAGTTTCCTTTTTATGAGTGAATAATATTCCAGTGGGTGTATAACACACTTTGTCCATTCATCCGATGTTGGACATTTGTCTTGATTCTACCATTGGCTATTGTGTGTGCTGTGCACATAGGCACAATGATCTCCCCTAAACACTCTTTTCATTTCTTTCAAGTAATCCCCAGAAGTGGAATTGCTTGGCTGTGTTTTCCATTTTTGAGGAACGGTCATTCTCTTTTTCATAACGGCTGTACCATTTCACATTCCCACCCACAGTGTGCAAAAGGTCCAGTTTCTCCGCATCCCACCAACACTTGTTACTCTGTTTGTATTTTTTCAAAAGTAAACATTGTAAAGGCTGTGAGAAGTATCTCGCTGTGGTTTTGAGTTGCCTTCTCCTAATGATTAGTGACATTGAGCATCTCTTCATGTGCTTATGACTATTTGTGTATCTTCTTTAGAGAAGTGTCTGCTCCAGATACAATCCTTAACGGAGGTAGACAATCACAGCCTTTGCCCTGCATGTCTGTAGTACTTCCTCTCATTGGATAACCCAAGCACCTTCACATGTCTCTGGAACACAACCCCTTTTGAGGAGAGGCCTTGCAGAACACCACTTGGGCTGAGAGCTACTGACACATATTAAACACCCATGCCACCGGCTGCCCCAACATGTACAGTGGGCCCTCGAGTTACGACCAGCCTGACATATGAACAATTCGGGTTACGACCGGAATTTTAATTTTAACTTACAACCAAAGTCTTGAGCTACAACCTGAATCTGGCCGCATGTGCTTCCAGATGGTCTCAGACACAGATTTAACCCTTAAACAGTTCTGGAAGGAACATGACAGCATCCTCTCCTATGTGAGTTAACTGAAGAATCCCGGGCCAGTGTCTCTACGGACACTGACCTCTGCCTGGGTACAGGAGAGAGACTTTGAAGGCTGTGTAGAGGAGCCTGAGCCTTCAGTGACCAAGTTGAGTTACAGCCAGCCCTCGAGAATGAGTTGTGTTTGTAAGTCAAGGGTCCACTGTACACTGTCTTAGTCTGTTTTCCACTGCTGAGGCAGAATACCTGAGGCAGGGAAACTCATGCAGTAAAAGGGTTGATTTAGCTCATGGCTGCGGACACCAGGAGCACAGGACTGGCGTCTGCTCTGTGCTGGTGGGAACGCTGTGGCACAGGCACCGTGGGGGAGGGGGTGGCGGAGTGGTGAGCCTGTGCGCACAGCGGAGGGCCTCCCTCTGTGACAGCCGCCTCTGAGACTCACTCGCTCCTGTGAGACCCAGTCCGCAGCATCCTCTTCATCCCCTTCTTGGGGTGGAATCTCCACGACCCACTTCCTTTCCAGGAGGCCTCACCTCCTCCAGGGGTCCTCACCTTGGCATCACCGCCCTGGGGACCGGGTCTCCAGCCCGGGAACCATCGGGACACAGCTCAGCGCACACAGTGGCCCAAGTGCAGCCTTCGTCATGCTTCCATGGCTCTGCTCCTTAGCAGTCGCAGAGTGACAGTGAGTCCTGCAACACTCCAACAGCACGCAGGCCCAGAGCTGAGTGCTTCCTGCGAGCTGTCTAACTGAAGCTTTACGTCTTTTGACGTAAAGTGAAGAAGGTGAGGCATGGGGCGACTCACATATCTAATGACAGCAGAGTTAGCAGTTGTGGGGGCAGCCAGACCCCAGTCACAGAGCTCACCAGCCCTGCTGCACCCTGCGGGCAGGGCCCTGTGTAGTGGAGGGTGCAGGACTCTGGGCACTGGACAGTGCAGCTGGGTCCCTGTGCAGTAAATGCCACGCAGCCCCAAGAACTGCAGAGCGAGCACATCTGTGGGTGAAGCAGTCGCTGGATGTCTGCAAAGGAATTCAAGGCGATCTCGAGGATAGTATTTTTGTATTAACTGAGCTCTGGTTTGGGGGATTGCAACAAGCCACCAAACTTAAGAGTTGGAACACACCCCAACACATGCATTGCATGGAATAATTCCACCAAGTGCAGATGTTCGAGATGATGGAGTGCCTGGCAGTGAGCGTGGTCCACGCTGTGGGAAGACCTTGCCTGGAGGTGGTTGCTGAGCCAGGATCTCCACTGGGCTCCGTCCCAGCCCGGTACCTAGAAGACAGTGTTTTTGGTTTTTGCTGAATGGAGGAAAAAGACACTAATTGCACTTCCAGGTACTTGCAGGTTCCTTCCTCCCTAAGCCCTCATCTTCTCATTATAAAGTGGAAATAGTAATTCTTTCCAGATGCCTCACAGATGGTAAGAACAGCTGATTTTTTTTTAAATCAGTGAAAGCATGTTTTTAGTGAAAGCAACGTTGAAAAGGCTAAGAACTGAGTACTGCCCGCCAGGGGGCAGACTTGGGCTGCAGTAAATGGCTACAGTCATTAAACCCAGGAAATCAACATGCAAGCCAGGCCAAAATTGCCTCAAAGCGTAGTGAGTACAGATTCCTAGGTATAGGGAGAGGAAACAGCTTCTTGCTTGAAGTCATTCACATCTGGTCACAAATGCTGAGCCAGAGCTGACAACCATGCACACCGAGGACCCTAGGATTCATGGAAAATAAAAACAGGAGAATAAGTCCTCAGAAGTCAGTATTACAGCTTTCCCAAATGAAGGTCAGGATGCCTCAGAGCCAGCCACATTTAAAGTCAAAGTGCCACCACATCAGCCTGCCTGCTGGACGGAGAGTGGGGGACATCATTCCGGAACCCTAACACTCAAAGTCTGTCCTCGAGCCTGGTCACACCAGTAACCACAAGATGACCAGCAGATGCTTCTCTAAAGTGTGTACTGGAGCCAGGCAGCATCACGAGGCCCCTGTCTCCCTCAGAGGGCAAAGTAATGTTATCATTGCATGAACTGACAGAATTTACAGAAAGTTTGTTGCATGTATCTGTTCGGAGCCTCCTGACCTCTGGGTGAATGAATAGAGGAGGAATCTTTCACTTTCCACTGAAGAAAGCTGGTATTGGAGAAGTTAAGTGACTGACTCAGAGATGAAGAACAAGGAAGCCGCTGAATATGTGCTTTCCCGAGTGTCCAACGCCTTAACTGTAAGGATAAGAGGAGGCCATGAGCGGAGTGACAAGGGGTTCGGTTTTTGCTGGGACAGACTAGGGTTCCCTTCCCAGTTCTGCCTTGTACTAAAATGCACTAATTGTGAACACCTCTCCCGGTGGCACCAAACTTTGTATTCTTCTTTGATTGAAGAAGGATATCGAAGCCCCTGCCTGTGCCTGCTTAGGAAGATGCATGCTCAGCTCCATCCCATGCATGGCGTTGGCCACCTGGACTCAGACCACAGCTGTTTCTCTTGGCCCGATCTTTGGGCCGTCCGGATGCGTGTGTCCCAACGAGCCCAGAGGGTGGGGCAGCCCAGGACCTGTGTGTGCCACTGCCCTAAGCTTTGGTTGAGCTGAAGTTCAGCATCAGCTCCCTGCCTGCCTCCTGGGAACTGATTCCTACAGTGGGTTAAAGTCTAAGTTGTTTGGGTAAAATAAACTGCTAATCCTGCTTCATCAAACACCAGGTTTGTTCACATTTGAAAGCATTAAGATTCATTTTTTTCAGGGCCTGGGGTGTAGCTCAGTAAAACCCAGCCTGTGAGAGGCCATGGGTTAAATTTCCAGCAGCACAAAGTTTTATTTTTGCAAAGTAACATGTGAAATAATTTAAAAGTCAAATGGTTCTAAGGCTGATTGTGAAAATGTCCCTCCTCATCCCCCATCAACAATCTTAACTGTTTCTTCTAGTATTCACCTCTGTGTGTCTAAGTAAATGGCGCAGTTATTCTTTGATTTGTCCATTTTAGATTTATTGAATTCTCTTTAACACAGGCAAGGATTGGGGTGTCCCTTACAACCACCCCTACTTTCCCACTTTCTCAGCAGGGTAATAGCATCACTCTGGGTTAAAGAGTCAGCAGTGTGATGTTGCTATGACTAATCCAAATCATATCCTGTGGTTGCAATTCCTTTTTGAGACAAGTGGTTATTTTACTGCCTAAAGAGACTAATTGCCCTGCTTTTACTTGTTTAGTTTCTATGTGCCCTTTGTCTTTATCCAAAATCTACAGATTTCCAAATGCATTCCATCATTAATTTCCAATGCAAGGGTCATCAGTTCCCTCTTTGGTTTGATGTTGGTTTCTGCTCCCACCAGGGATGTCCCTGGAACCTCCCTCCTGGAGCCCTCTGCCCTCCTGCTCCAGCC